CAAGTAAAACACACAAAATATATACCACAACGTCAACACAGGCAAGTAAAACACACAAAATATATACCACAACGTCAACACAAACAAGTAAAACACACAAAATATATACCACAACGTCAACACAGGCAAGTAAAACACACAAAATACATACCACAGCGTCAACACAGCCAAGTAAAACACACAAAATACATACCACAGCGTCAACACAGCCAAGTAAAACACACAAAATATATACCACAACGTCAACACAGGCAAGTAAAACACACAAAATATATACCACAACGCGCGTACGTCAACACAGGCAAGTAAAACACACAAAATATATACCACAACGTCAACACAGGCAAGTAAACCACACAAAATATCAAAACGTCAACACAGACAGGTAAAATACAAAAAGCAAAAAGCGTCAATACAGACAAGGAAAGCACACAAAATTAAGAGTTGATGATATATAGTAGATTGTGGTATTTTTGCGTTCAGCAATTATAAAGAAACAATTAAATTCACTTTATTTTCTATGTCACAGCTAGTGTAATTGATTTAGAAAAGAATGTCGCGTACTTTAAAAGTTCAAGCGTCATCATAGGTCAGGTTACTTGACGAAATAGAGTTGTGGATGATAAAAATTGTGAATTAAATTGTATGTACATATACCATCAAACAAAGAAAGTAAATACAATATCTATACATATCAGTGCACGTAATGCTACAATACTTGCTTATAAGTGTGAAAATAATAATAATACTTGATGGCGCAGCAAATGCGTCACACCTAATTGACAAGAAGGATGGTGTTCAAGCACATTAGAAAGTGTTTCCAAACTATCATGGCATCGTGTACGGGAGAGGATATTCATGTTACTAACAATTAGATACCTCGAAATTTCGAGATAATTACTCGAGTTATTATATTAAAATTTCGAGTTATTATCTTGAAATTTCCAGTTAGTAAGTCGAAATTTCGAGTTATTAAAAGGAAAAAACGAAATTTATTTTTATTCTACATGGCCCTATTCCGTCTTTGCGTATTGCAGAGTTATCTTCTCTTGGGAGCAGGTATTGATTGTTACGTCACTTGTTTGTGAGAGTAACGTCATCAATTTTTGAGAAAACGACGTAATTTTCCCACACAAACCAATGACGTAACAATCAATACCTGCTCCCAAGAGAAGATAACTCTGCAATACGCAAAGACGGAATTGCTCTTTCGTAGTAAACTTACTAGTATACCTATAAATGTACCAGAATAAATTTTGGTGTAAATGAAATCCTCCCGTATATACAAAATACTGTTGCATGACATAGCATCGAGTTTCGCAGATAATTACGATGAATCCATATAAATATCTCCAGACACGTAATGCTGTGTTGTAAGAGGATACAGGTGTGGTGTTAAACCACGTGCCTATACAAAAAACCTAGTGTGTATTGGCTACATATAAAAAGTGGTGACCAAAAGATGATTACTTGAAGACATTACATATACGATATATACATCATTTGATATAGCGTCCTTTCTAGCTATTTTGAGAAATTCGCAGAAGCTGCCTTATCAGGCGCTAACTACTATCCCTAGCCACCTGGCTAATATATCCCTATGTTTGTATGCCTGCGTGTGTGCTGGAGATGTATTGTATTACCAATGTTTAAAATACTGTAAAACCACATTACAGTATAGTGTTTCTATATAACGAGTAACGTATCGCGACATCAACAGTGTATATACAATACTATGTAAAGGTTTTAGTACAATAATATGTAATATTAATTTATTTTTTTAAATCCGTCAATATCACTACTAGCCAGAAAATGTATACATCTTTTATGTTGCAGATACTATTTCTTCAAAAGTGTGATGCAAATCTACAGACAACGTTAAGACAACACAATATATCAGCGGAGAACGTCATTTACCTGCAGGAATGGTGAGTTTCCTGTCATTTTTTTTCAATTCTATTGTATTCCATTGTAATCATAATTATACTTTGCGTGACTTTTGTGAGAAACAATAAAGATGAAATGAACAATGACTAACCAACGACAGTGTTTTGAGTTTAAAAGATCAGCCGGACTATACTGGGATTCGAACCCTGGACTTCAGATTGGTATACCATCGCTCTAACCGATTGAGCTACCTGTGGGACAGTTACATGTGTATGCAAACAGAAGTTAAAGGGTGGTTACTGTATATAGGTAGAATAAACACAGTGAAGCTGGGCAGGAATCCTGAAGTGGTACTCTTAAATCAAAACACAATAGTACTCCGTAATTGACCGTTTGAATACCATTTGTTATAGAATATAAACCCTGAAAGTGAATGTGTCTAAACTTTTGCTAATAAATGACACTTCTTTATTTGATACTTGATTAGGCAGTTCATGGTCCCAGGTTTTGTGGATACCCATATCCATGCGTCTCAGTACCCAAATTGCGGGAAGGGCATAGGCGAAGGGCTGTTGTCATGGCTACAAAAATATACTTTTCCGGTGGAGGCCAAATTTGCGGATCTGGAATTCGCCACTGATACATATTCCAGGGTTATCGTAAGTAATTACTGATTGAAGAAATAGGTTCCTTAAACAGCTTTAGTTTTATTTAAAATTACAATGAAAAACTTAATTATTCACAAGTTAACACATGACATCTTAGCGTTTGACAATAATTTAATTCGATGTAACAAGACAAAATATCTGCAAATGTCAACATTTCTTTTCAGTCTCGAGTTATAAAAAACGGCACAACGACCGCGTGCTACTTTGCAACCATAGATACTGATGCAACGCTCAGACTTTGCGACATAGTGGGTAAGTTACCATGACGAGAAGCACAGAATTTGTGACAAAATGGGTAATTTACCATGACGACAAGCACATAACTTGTGACATTAATGGGTATCATCTGGTAAAAAAGAAACTATCAAAAAATTCTACTGTTATATGATGTACAAAATCAAGATGCACAAACATAATTGTTATTATAATCTCAGCAAAAATGCAAAATACACGTTCTGAACAAAAACAAGATATCTGCGCAAAGGCTCTTTGCAATGGTAAACAGTTGAGTTCAAAAACCGTCTAGAATGAACTTTTGCACAAAGTGGCTGCTACTTTTCCACCATTTCTGTTTAGTTTAATGTTCTGTTTCTATACTGTAATGGTTTATTTCGGAAACTGTTCCTGCGACCATTGTGATTTTAACGGCTAAAGGGTGTCAACTTCACGCTGATACCAAGGAGCTAATTACATATGCACATCAAAATTTTGTAGGCCTGACTGTATTGCACAAGTAGCTATCACACTGAATATAGTTGTCTAGGAAATTTATTACAGATAAAAAAAACCAAGTGTTACTGTAGTCCAAGCGAAAGGTAATAGACGAATGTTTTATAACCTTTCGTGTATCTGTAGAAAATGTACTGTCGGATGAAATCAATGTTTTCTGACCTTATGGTAAAACTTTTTTTGTAATGGTATTAGCCAGTTACTCCATAGGTTCTTTTACATATGGTACCATTTCAATATTTTTGGTACCGACCTTAAGCTAGATAGTCAGTGTCTACTGATGCTTGGAGGAAAGGGTTTGGGTTTTATTTTGTTTAACGTCCTATTAACAGCTAAGGTCATCTAAGGACGTGTCTCCATGTGCGTTGTGTATGCATGCATGTGTGTATGTGTGCCGGAGCTAGGGTATGTTGGTGTAATTGCCTCCCAGCACAGCATTCCGCCCGGTCACATTGTACTGACAACGGGTGAACCAGTTGTTGCCATTTCACTTAAAGCTAAACGTTATGCAGGGAATAACAACAACCAATTTTAAGGACTTTGGTATGTCCCGGCCTGGGGACAGAACCCATTGCCTTTCTCACCTGGGCGAACGCTTAATATTAAAGCCAGAAGTGAGGTATTGCCAAGCAAGGCGCTAGAAAATAAAAGGTAGTTAGAAGTAGAAAGAAAGATAAAGATCCCAAATGATGTATTGGGTGCAGCAGATTTATTTTGGTCGCGTTTGTGTCCCCAAGTAGAGAGCACAAAAGCTAATCTCCAATTCTGCCGGGGGTTACCACAATAGTCGCCTTTTAGTGTACATGCAGTGGGTAACAGCAGGTATATTCTTTTCTCGATCCGCGACCTGCAGGGGTGTTTGTAGGAAAACATTTCATTTTTTTTCTTTTCCTGAGCTAACTTAAATATTTTTGCGTCGTCCAGGTACTGATGTCTGGAGAGTTCTGAACTCTCTGACATAGGGTCCCAACTATCGTTTTGCTTTACAACCATGTGTCATCAACGTTACGATGATAACGAACTTTATGGCAACGATAGATCACCTCAATCGGCTTTAAATAAAAGCAATATTTTGCATCTACGGTTATTTTCAATGATGCAATGCTTAAATGTTGCGACATAGTTGATAAAAAGTAATTCATTTTTACGGAACGCTCATACATTGTGACTTGTGTCAAAAAAAGAAACAGCAAAGCCACGCTCATACTTTTTGACATATATTTAGGTAAGTTACTATATATGATGCTACGATCAAAATTTGAGAAATAGCTACAATACCGGCATTTTGAGACATCATTGGTTAGTTAAAGCCAGGATTACACGCTCAGATTCAATACATAGTAGGTGCTTGTAAATTACAAGACTCAATGCAAAAGATTTTGTGACATTACAATGGATTGAAACATTTTTCTTTATAAATTACTTGAATGTGATTCAGAGTATATGAATAACACTGGTTCTAGAGTTACACAAACACATTTATAATCCTACCCAATACTATCTCATGCACGTCGTTATTTGTCATGAGTATACATTGAGATAGGCGCACCGAACCAGAACTAAATAAACACGATTCCTGAATGCGGCAAACATTGATAAACTATACCTCCTACTTTAACACACAGAGACAACTATAACTCATAATTAACACAAAGACAAATTATACTTCACACAAAAACAGACTATACCTCAGGGTTAACACACAGTGACAAACTATACCTCATGGTTAACACACAGTGACAAACTATACCTCCTGATTTACACACAGTGCCAAATTATATCTCATGATCAACACACAATGACAAACTATACGTCATGATAAACACACAGTGACAAACTATGCCTCATGATTAACACACAATGACAAACTATACTTCATGATTAACACACAGTGACAAACTATACCTGCTGATTAACACACAGTGCCAAATTATATCTCATGATCAACACACAATGACAAACTATACGTCATGATAAACACACAGTGACAAACTATGCCTCATGTTTCACACACAATGACAAACTATACCTCATGATAAACACACAGTGACAAACTATGCCTCATGATTAACACACAATGACAAACTATACTTCATGATTAACACACAGTGACAAACTATACCTCCTGATTAACACACAGTGCCAAATTATATCTCATGATCAACACACAATGACAAACTATACCTCATGATAAACACACAGTGACAAACTATACCTCATGATTAACACACAATGACAAACTATACCTCATGATTAACACACAGTGACAAACTATACCTCATGATTAACACACAATGACAAACTATACCTCATGATTAACACACTAAGACAAACTTAACCTCATGATTAACACACAGTGACAAACTATACCTCCTGATTGACACACAGTGACAAACTATACCTCATGATTAATACACAAAGACAAACTTAACCTCATGATAAACACACAGTGACAAACTATACCTCACGATTAACACACAGTGACAAACTTTACCTCATGGTTAACACACAGTGACCAACTATACCTCATGATTAACACACACAGACAAACTATAACTCATGATTAACACACAGTGACAAACTATACCTCCTGATTGACACACAGTGACAAACTATGCCTCATGTTTCACACACAATGACAAACTATACCTCATGATTAACACACAGAAACAAACTATACCTCCTGATTAACACACACAGACAAACTATACCTCATGATTAACACACATTGACAAACTATAACTCATGATTAACACACAGTGACAATCTATACCTCATGATTAACACACAATGACAAACTATACTTCATGATTAACACACAGTGACAAACTATACCTCATGATTAATACACTAAGACAAACTTAACCTCATGATTAACACACAGTGACAAACTATAACTCATGGTTAACACACAGTGACAAACTATACCTCATGATTAACACACAGTGACAAACTATAACTCATGGTTAACACACAGTGACAAACTATAACAAGTAGAATTAAACTGTATACTGAAACTGCCTCATGTTTCACACACAGTGACAAACTATACCTCATGATTAACACACACAGACAAACTATACCTCAATGTTAACACACACAAACAGAATCTTCATCAGTTAATCACTTGAAGGAGATAAATTCACTGTATCTTATTTAACTATTTAACATTTCAGATTATTCTTTTTTTTTCCAAATAACTTTACATATGAACAACAATGTTGTACTATTTTCATGCTGTATAATAGGCTGGATTTGAACTGTTCTGTTCTAGACAATGCTGGCCAGCGTGCCTTGGTGGGTAAAGTCAATATGGACCAGAACTCCCCGGAATTCTACAAGGAGGAGACAACTCAGTCTTATCAAAATACCATCAGGTTTGTATTGATACATTTTTTTATTGTAAATAAATGTTTCCGTTACCCAAATAAATCTCAAATACAACACTTTTTGTTTTTGTAGGCATTTTCGCTCTTTTTAGACGATACATGCTTTGAATTCCGTTTGGCAAAATTTTAATAAACACTGTCACTAGTAAGATTAATTGTTTCTGTCTAAATATATTTAACACACGATAGCAATGATTAAAAATTCGTTTTTTTAAAAATTCAACCTGACCATTTATTTCACTCGTTCTTTCAATTCAATTAGAAGCAGCACGCATAGTCACTGGCGGCACTAGACTCACAAGTAGAATTAAACTGTATACTGAAACAGGTTGGCTTCCCCTCGAGGAAAGACGTAAACAGCACAAGCTTATTCTTTTCCACAAAATGGTTCATTGTCTGGCTCCTCAATATCTTCTAGATATTCTACCTCAGCGTAACCGTAATTACCACAACCATGATACTCCCACGGGAAATAATTTTCGTCCACTAGTTAGTCATACGTGTCTCTATAATAAATATTTTTTGCCATCTGTCATCAGTATCTGGAACTCCTTGCCTGACTTTGTCAAGAACGACCCTTCAATATATAAACTTAAAACCTATCTACGCAAGCCCTCTCACAAAATTCAAATTTTCTACTTTAATGGTACCAGACTGGGGCAGATACATCATGCTAGATTAAGAATGGAGTGTAGTTCCCTTAAGTTTTATCTATACCAGATAAATCTAATTGATAGTCCTCTGTGTTCCTGCATGCAAGAAAATGAAACCAATGAACATTATCTATTACATTGTTGTCTTTTTTCTCAACTACGTTTACATACATTTAACGAAATCAATCATCCACTCTCAACTGATTTACTTTTGTTCGGGAATAATGAGCTTACAGATGACGAAAATGCCT